TGTGTGAAGAAGCAGGAAATAAAAAAGGAACTCACCTTGTGGTATAACCGGCAAGAGAGAAAGCCTTTGAGCTCCATAATGTTTCAGAGATAATCCTTGATAATCTAATATGGCGTTTCATCACCGCAGTATTTCGTTTTTTTTTTATCAACTCATTTTTTTTTTTTAAAGCTTTATACCCCAAATCAGCACTTTTGAAACAGGAAGTGAAATAGAGGGATATGAAGCGTGGCTAGAATGGGTGATCTGTTTGGTATTTTGAGCAAAACACTTCATAGGCATGTTTTTTATATATTTGTATATATCTGAGACCTACGCTATTGCCTAAAAATAGCATGATAGGTGAACTTTAAAGCATTCAAACAGACAGAACATGTGTGACTCAAAGAGGGATTTCTACTTGTCCATCAACTATATAGACGAGCAGTCGCTGCCAGCTCACCTGGTGTCGATGTCTGCGGCCTGGATGGTGTTGAAGAGCAGCTCGGCCACCCCCACCCCCTCCACGTTGATGAGGTGAGGCTGAAACAGAGCCTCGGGGGCTTCGAACCTCTCCCCTCCCACTTTGATCAACCTGCCGTCCGGGAGCTGAGGACACAACAAAATCCCAGCCGTCAGAAATTTGACAACGTCTAAAAACATTTAGGTACTGTCTGTCCTCATTATCAGTGAAGGAACAAAAAGAAAACAAATATATATTATTTAAAAATACACAAACAAAACAGAGAAGGCAAAAAACCAATGGACTTATTTAAAGCCTCTACCTAAATAATGTTAAAAATCACAATTTTATATAAAACACAAGATCAGTACACAAACAATTAATTGAATGCAATAAAAATGGCACACTTTAAGAACATTATACTTAACATTTGAATTAAATAACACTGATGTGAATAGGAAAACCAGGCACCATAGAGTGGTCTAATTATATTTCAGGTATTTTTAAAGTGCAGCGAGGTCAAAGTCAACTTTATTGTCAATCTTCCAGTTTATGTCAGAGAGATCGAAGTACCGTTTCCCACAATCCCGAATATAAAAACAAATATATATAAAAATAAATGTGCAAATATGTATATACCTAGGCTATATATACACAATCAAAGACACATTTGTACATGTGCACACATTAAGACCTAAATAAAAGCACAACAATCAGGTAGAGCTGGAGTTTCTAGTCATGACGTTAACTGACCGTGTACGACTCCACCAGCACGGTGGTCTCCAGCGCCAGCTTCTGCTCCTGCTCGATGTTATAACCCACGTAGCACAGCTTCTCCTTCATCATCCTCACCGTCTCAAAGTCCGCAGAGTGGTTGAAGGCGTAACCTCGCAGCAGCAGCAGCTGGAAGACGGATTTTATGGTTATCAAAGCATCAAAATACATTCATTTGACAAAGAATAAGCCACTGCGTAGAACAACTAGCGCTTCAACAAAAAGGTTAACTGAACGTAAAATGTACAACAAGATGGAAAATACCTAAATATGTGACATGACAAGAGGTGAAAAGATATGATTTATTTTGATATTCAATTTGGGTTTAAGGACAAGAGTTTTCTGAAATACTGAATGCTGATTGGACAACAGGAAACATTTTTATTTGGTAATTGATACGGTTTCATATTTGTCTGATCATATCACGCCAATAGATCCAATTCATTTAATTGATTTATAATTAAATCAAATGACACCACCCTGCGCCTAAAATGTGTTGCTGATCATTAAGTTATACAGTATTTGTACATTCCATCAATTTACATTTAAGTAACAAAACACACTTTTTCTTTTTTAACAAATATATAAATACAACAGTCTGACCTCCTATTTTTCATGAATAGAAAAAAAGATTCAAGAAACATTTTTTGCACACTTAGGGCTTGACTCGCTTAGATTTTCGTCAAAAAATGTGTTAAAATCTGGATTAGGGAGCATCCATCAAGATACTCATTTAATAGCATGATTATAACACAGGTGTTCGCTGGGCTGGTCAGAGTAAATGGTCACTTTATAATGATCCATTGAGGCTAAACAGACTATAACACCCCTTAAATACCAACCAACAGCGTTTCCGCCAGGGGGCCTTATTGCCGTCATTTGACGCCCTTATTCAGCTCGGGACGCCCTGAACGCGAGCCGAGGGCGTCCAAAAATATTAATAATTCGAGAGAAGATCGAGAGTTTTTATCGCTTGAAATGACGAAAAGGAAAAAGGACATCCCGCTGTTGGAGGGGCAAAGGAGTCTGGTGGGATTCTTTTCGGAGTATTGAAGATTGTTTCCCCGACATCGAAGGTGCTCTACAGGACAACACGGAACGTGCGCGATTTGGACGCGATGAGCGGGGGGGGGTTTAGTGGAGCACGCGCGTGAGCTGCGAGCACCAGAGCCTCGCAGCGGCGAAACTGAGGCTCCGTGGTAAACTGTGGTAACATGAAGAGCCGTTTGGGAGCCGAAAGAGCCGGCGCTTTAAGAGAGCCGAGCCAAATGATCCGGCTCACTAATGTAAAAATACAGTATCTATAAGGGACGGCTCAAGTCAAAATTCAAAACAACTCCCCCCGCTCTCGGGGTGGACGCCCTCTCAGCCCTGGTCTGGCGGAATGCTGCCAACCAACTATGTGCAATATGTGATATATATATATATATGCCGTTAATAAGTGTGCAATATATACCTGGCTGCTAAACCCTAAGAACTGTTACAGGATGTGTATTTATTTTATCTTTAATACTTTTGTATGCATGCTTCGACTTAACATTAAGCTGTCTTTGGCTCTTTTTCGGCTGTACTAACGTACATTTCCCCTCTGTGGGACTAATAAAGGGTTTCTGATTCACCATTCAATAAAGTCAGACTGAAGCACTCCTTCGTGCATCAGTCAGTCCTCTCAGTAAACACAGAGCTAAATCCCAGATCAAATGCTGAAGGCTCTTTGAGCATGTTTTCTCTCACTGATTGTGCTGTTATGTTAAACATTTGTTGTTTGTGTTTCATGTATTGTGTCTGGATACTTGTCTGTTGATGTTGGACATGGAGCTGCTGTGACGCAAGTCAAATTTCCGACTTGATCTGACAAATAAAGTAATATCGTATCGTATAATATAAAGACGGCCCATCACTGTGTGTTGCTGCTGGTACCTTGATGAGGTAGCGTGTTATGTCTCTTCCTGCGATGTCCAGACGTCGGGTCAGGTGAGGCAGCGAGAAGCCCTCGTACACCGGACAGATGTGAGTCACACCGTCACCAGAGTCCACCACCACTCCAGTCAGCAGCCCTGAAACAGAAGAGTGCAAGGATGTGTATTACTTAGTATTCAAGGTGTGCATGTGATACCAATACCTGTTCATCTACATTGCTCTACAGCTCCACTGGTAGTCGAACTATGTAGCTCCATGAGTTTTAGAATTGAGCTAGAGGCTTTTGTTAGAAAAAGTAGTTCTTGCTTGGATTTTGCTCAGAGAATGGCTTTTTAAGTTTAGCTGTGAACATGAGTGCTAAGGAGACAAACTAACCTTGAGCGTAGAGAGTGAGGACAGCCTGGATGGCGATGTAAACTCCTTCAAACTGGTACGTTTCAAACATCACCTGGCAGGAAAAGAACAGAACTAAGTTAACTATAAAAGCATTAAAAAAATGTTGTGTTTCTGCCAGATTTTCAATACAAATCAATTAGGATGACCTTAGGGCCCACCACCCTGATCCAGTCTCTCAGGCCAAAATGAAAACATTATGTGAGACTTTACATGTGATTGTGCCACAGCCCACCTCTATAATCTTTTCTCTATTCTTGGTGGGGTTCATGGGCGGCTCGGTCAGAAGGATCTTGCAGTCGCGCGAGTTTATGTTGAGTTTCTCGGGGCCGAAGGTGTAGTCCCACAGGTGCTTCATGTCGTCCCAGTTCCTGACGATGCCGTTATCCATGGGATAGTTCACCTCCAACATGGAGCGCAGCTCGCTGGCCTCATCGCCCACCATCAGGTCCTGCGAGGGGTCAAAGGTTAACAGATCAGTTAGGTCTTTACCTGCTGCTTCCTTAGGCTGATGATTCTTTTAAAAGCATCCCACAGCCACAACGTTTACAATTCATCAGCTGAATTATCAAAATCATTTTCCTTGTGTCTTACTTAAAGGTCTCCTATTATACTATTTTTAGGCATACAGGTCTCAGATATAAAAAAAAAAAACATGTTTATGATGTGTTTTGCTCAAAATACCAAACAGATCACCCATTCTAGTCATGCCTCTTACCCCTCTATTTCAGCTCTGTTAGAAAAGGGAGGAAAAGATCGTTTTTTTGTATTTTCTGACACTTTGGGAGTCTCCTTAGGGACAAATTTTTATGTATAAAAGAAAACAAAAAGTGCATTTAGAATAATAGGTGACCTTTACTTAAGATATTAAGTTATTGAAGTGAGCCTCGGCAGTGTTTGGTTAAGATCCCAAGCTGCAAAATCTTTGTATATTATGGAAAATAATTATTGCGCTTTCATACATGATCACTTTAATTAAGACCCAACTTGTTTCCACTTTTCACAATCCCTCCTAATACATCTAATATTGCAGTTACAAGGATTTCCATGTTACCTTTATTTCAATGTTGCCAACTTTAGCTGTGGAGCGGATGATTGGCCGGCCAACCAGCGCTGGGAAAATGTGTTCGGGGAAGTTGGAGCCTGCAAAGCCGCACTTGACAAACTAGGAAGGGAATGAAAGAAGAAAAGAAGGAAACACAAGTGTTACAAATACAATATTTGAAGTATAATAGATGTTAAATAAGCAAAAAATCCTTCACTAGAGCAACATCTTGTAGGTTCAAAAGGGATATATATACAAACTGAGGCCGACTTTGTACCTGTGAACTAGGGCTGCTCGATTATGGCAAAAATCATAATCTCGATTATTTGGGTCAATAATTGATATCACGATTATTAAAAACGATTATCCATTTACTTTGAAAACATCAATTTATTTCAAAAATGTGAACAGTATCTTTTTAACATGATTTGATTACCCTGAATTTTAAGTATAATTCAACTGAAAAACCAAAATTATAAAAAATAATAATAAAAAAATATTTTATTTCGATTACGTTGGTTTTGTCATCGTTGCAAGCCATAATCATAATTGCGATTAAAATAAGATTAATTGAACAGCCCTACTGTGAACCACAATGTACATAAGAATATGATAATGAACTGAGATTGAAACTCAACCCAATTCTTAAATAGCACTGTATGTCAGAGATACAAAATATATATTAACAACCTTTTTACTTGGATATAACAGAACTGCTTTGATTTGAATAAAAGTCACTTTTCCTGAATAGTTTAGCATTTATAAAGGCTGGCTACTACAAACAAAATTGGCCATTTGAAGACATGCTTAACAGTGGTGGAAAAAGTATTCACATTCTTTACTTGAGTAAAAGTAATTATACCACACTGTATAAATACTTAATATCAAGTAAAAGAACTGCATCGAGAAGTAGTAAAGTAATGATTAGGAAAAGTTAAAGTACTCGTAGCCTAAAAAAACGAAAATGATTAGCAAATCTTCCCATTTAAGAAGCTGTAGGTGACTGTACTTAGTGACACTGATCATTCAAACTGAGTGTCTGCACTTTCTAACGAGGGCGGGGCCGACTGAAGAGGCTCCTGAGCTAACCTAGCTAACTAAAACAGAAAACAGAAAAATGGGGATTCTGTAGTAAAGATTATTAATGATTTTATCTCTAACTCGTCCTTTAAGATGGCTCCTGGCGCTTTTGCTTCGTAATATTAAATAAGCAAAGCTAAAAAGGCACTCAGCTAGCCACCGTGGCTAACATGTACTGAGCATGTACGGAAATGGAATTAATTGACTTCATGACTTTGAAATGTGAACTACTAAGGTGTCGAAATGGAGTGTTAAATTGAATAGGGGATTGTTTTAGGGTTTTTTTTAAGGTTAACTGATAGTGCATAACGTGACCAAAGTTACAAACCAAAGCTAGCTAAACGGCTAAACTAACCGTTAGCTACCAGATTGAACAAGACTTTTATAGAATATTGGGTATTTAATGGTGTGCTACTGATAAATATAACCAAAATGTGTCATCTGTAGCCCTGGTGTAGATGAATGGATCCAGCTGACAGACACATTCCTCTCACAACCCACCCAGACATGCTAACGCGTTAGCCTGTTAGCTCGATAATCACTTCCTGTTTCCAGTTTTCTCTCCGTTTGCTTATCAAATTGCAGGAGCACAAAGAGCGACACGGAGGGAGATTTAAATCCACCACCTGTTCTCAAACTTACCCCGGTTCCATTGTCACAAACAACGATTTTTCTCCCTTGACTGTCCATTTTTGTTCCCTGAATTCAGCAGCAGCCTCCTGCCAACGTCAAGCTAACCAACCGCCGGAAGCAACACACCTAACACTTCAGGTGGGGTTCTTTCACAATAAAAGCCCCATCTCCACACATACTCATACAGTGGTGGGACTGAGTAGTATTCTGGAGCTTGTATAGAGAAGGAAAAACACTTATACTAAACTGTAAAAACACTCCACTATAGCTAAAATACCAGACTCAGGGACAGTTTCATCCCACAGGCCATAAAACTGTTAGTTAAACACCTGAACTTTTGAAAGAACATCCATAAACATTCATCTGTTTGCAACTCATACAGTATATATCAATATTCCAATCACTTGTATACTATTCTGCACTATTTCTACTATATTCTATTCTATGTTATTTACTTGCTGCACTGTTGGAGGAGCCAGTGACCTAAGAATGTCATTGTCATATCTACACTGTAGCTATGTACACATGAGAATAAAAGCCTTGGACCTTGAACCTTGAATACCTGCCCTGAGTAGATTAGAAGTGGAGGCTGCGCTCCATCAGGACCAAAACCTCTCACCACCTGAACAGTTTCTTCCCCTCCGCTAATGGCCTCATCAACAAGGCCCGGGACCCCCACTGACACTGACTTAGTTCGTATCCACCCCAAAAACATTATGCATTACATTAATGCATGTGAACAACATCTTGTTCTTTTTTGTCTTTCTTAAAGTTCCCCTATTATACTGTTTTTCATCTATGTATTATAGTTCTCAGATATATACAAAACATGTCTCTGAAGTGTTTGGCTCCAAACACCAAACGGATCATTGCAGCATTACCCATAATCCCCTCTGTTTCAGCCCTGTTTCCAAAGTGCTGATTCTCTGTCTGTTACTTTAGATGAAAATAAGGAGCCCGTCCCCACGCCCCTCTGAGAGATATTTGGTTACAAAGAACTCAATGGTGCTCTTGGAGGAGATTCAGGTGATAAGGTGTGTGTGGGGGGGGGGTTACCTTGGTTGGTGATTGGCTAATGGTTACACAAGCCAAAAAATCGTTATGACATCATAAAGTGGCCAAAATCTGATCAGCTCATTTTCAGACAGGTTTTTATAGAAATGGATCAGGACAAAAAGAGAGAGAATCTTTTTTCCTGAAACTTTCAGAGTCTCTTTACACAGAGGGGACACGTGTTGATATAGAAGAGACATGAAGAAGAGGGGACACATGTTGATGTAGAAGAGACATGAAGAAGAGGATTTTGCATAATAGGTGACCTTTAATACTGTGAGCCATGTTCATGCTCAACTATCTGACAGCTTTTTGCACATTTTTGCACACGTCTGCACAGCCCTCCACTTTAAAATATAATACACTGCAGTTTTCTATATATAATAAGTGTTTTTGTTTTTCGGTTTTTAAGGTTATTTGTTTAGTTAAATTTGGTGTAAATACTTGTCTTGAGCATAGTTTTTTAATTCTAAATTGTTTCTTAAAAATACTTATTTTTTATTATCCTTATATATATATATATTTTTTACCTACTTTGCAACTTATTTTTTTAGATTGTTTATGTTCGCACCACCAGACACCAAAGCAAATTCCTTGTATGTGTAAACGTACCTTGCAATAAACTTGATTCTGATTCTTTATATTTGTATTCCACTCATAGCAGTTATGATGAAACAAATATGTACACTTTAACCCTCCTGTTGTGTTCGTTCCCCCCCCCCC